CAAAGTAATACCAGTTGTGGCTTCATCGAGTGCGACTATCGTAGCGAAAACTCGGGAGTCTTGAACAAGATGCAGCGTTTTTTCACGCCAAGTACTAACTCAATGCTCTGGATAGGTTACAGCGGCGCGTAACCTGCATCATTGGCGATGAGGAGGTGACTAAACATCTGGAGCCTTTTCGACTACGCTGTGATGTGGCATCATTAAGTTTTCTATACCACGGCGAGTGTTCTAAGGAGTTATCCTCCCTTATCCCACCTTTCTCTTTCCTTCAGAGAACCACACGTGCTGGCCTAGGTTGCCACTGGCTTACTGTGCCTACGGCTCCTAAATGAACAAAGAAATTTGATGACTCATTTCTTTGTTGTACTATTTGCAAGTGGAATTCCTTGCCCACGCACGTGTTCCCTCCCTCCCTTCTGCAATCTAGGGTCCTTTAAAAGAATCGTGCAAAAGCAATTCTGCAGGCCGGCAAGGTGAAGATGGTTAGTGTGGCAGTTCATAGCTGCTACACCAGCAGCTATCTTCGCGTCTGTACTTTACCACCACTTAACATCAGGTGGGGTAGAATAATTTGCCTACTTAGCTATATAAAAAAATGCTTCGTATGCTACCATTGATGTTTTGCCTATGCACAAAATGATATAATAATATGGTGTAAATGTATATTAAGATTTCGTTTAAATTATAAAAACCCCATCTCTCTTAATTTGCCCTCATTCTTTTGTTTCTTTTGCGGCACTAAATTAACGTAGTTTCAACTCTGTTCGCTCTATACGGCTTTTGATACAGGTGATCACTAATCTCGGAGCCCGGGGTCGGTCGGTTGACCTCCGCTCCGCGATATCGTGTATGCGGTCGCAACACGTGCGATCGATAGGTCTGCCCTGCCGCTACTCTAAAATTATCCGATAATGCCGCTGCCGCCGCCACCGCGACGAAGGCCCGTCTACGAGTTTCTGCATGGTTAGTGAGGGGAACGGTTTCACCCGATTTACTTATACTTGCAATCTATTACCTAGACGCTTATATCGTAAGGGTTTTGGGTATAAAATTGGGTGAGTAAATAACGCAGGGAAACAATGGTGGATAATTTTTGGTGGAAAACTTAATATGATAACTATGTATTTCTCGTGTTTGCAAGAATAGAATATATGTATAAAGAAAAACCTTGTCAACGGATAAGAAGTGCGTAATCTGTTTTTTTTTTTAATTTCTATTATTTTTGACGTTTGAGACTCAGTGGTCACAAGACTGATCTAAAAATTAATAAATCACGCTTCATACCTGTTTTAAAAGAGATGAATTTAAAAAAAAAATATTGAAGTATAATCCTAAGTTAATACAAATTCTGAACAAAAAAGTACTGTGCCCCGGTTTTTTCATTAGTTGTTAGCATAAAGTATCCCTGGGTTGTTTCCCTTTCTTGCCTTTAAACGAAGACAATAAAATATTAAACAATCTAGTAGTTAACATTGATGCGATTGACTTTTAGATACATAAATATTATATAGAACGTTTAATAGTACTTGGAGACGTAAATTGATGTATGAGTTTGATTGGGTTGCTGTTTAGTTATCAATTCTTTGCGTAGTATAAGTAATATAAGATTTCACTTCACTTTGACAAGCATATTTTAAAATGATAAACAAATAAATATCATGGTCGCAATGAATCACGAACCAAGAATTCACACGTCGTCTTAACTCAAGCTTTCTAGCTGCTGCTAATGCTGCGTTTCCACAGTGCGTTTCCATCTAGTCCTCAGAACATTTTCGAGCAAGGAAAATTTGTTCGCTTGGTAAATGAAATGCGCAAAACCAATGTTGCGTTGTTTCCATAGATGACTAAGAAAATGAACATTCGTTCGCTGCGTCCAGTCAAACATCGTTGTACGAACTCGATCGCTTGCGCAGGTGTTTCTTTTTACTGAGCGAGCAAACATTTGCTCATTGAGAACTGTTCTGAGCTTAAATGTTCTTAGACATACGATTTAATAACTCGTACGCACTAATTGCAACTAATAATGATAGGGGAAGATGCTGGCAACAGGAAACTCGGGTGTTGAAGAAAATCCTGGATTAAGAAATAGGTGGGAACACAGAGCATCATTAAACTCGTTCATCATCAGCATTTTAATGTCCCCACTGCTGGAGCAGAGGCCTTAGGGAGATTGGGCCATAACTGCTGTGCCAGCTATCTTCGCGTTTGGCACTTAACATCAAGTGGGGTAGAATCATTTACCTACCTCGCTATAAAAAAAAAACACCACGCGGGCAAAGTGCAGATTGATGGATACTAATGACTGCAGATGCAGCTGGAACCAACGTCTTAACGTGCCCTCAAAAGCACTGCACTGGAGGTCGAAATAGTAGATTTTAATTTTGGTAACCCATCTAATGAACGACCTCTGCTAAAGTTGCTTAACTTCAACGATCACAGTCAAAATTAATCAAACTTTTTGCCATAGACATAGAAAATATTGCAAGTTCATCGTCGACATTCCCTAGTCACCTAGGCACCATGAGAAGAAGAATGAGAGTACATACATTATACATCTCTTTTATCTGTTTTTCTTGTTTATTGTATTGTGCGTGTACTAAATTAGTAAATAAATAAATACATAATGATGTGAATAGGTAAAACCTAATCTCTTTGAGAGCTATCTCTACTAGAAAGCTATTGCAAAGTGAGGCAGTCACGTAGTAATTTGCGAAGTGCGTGTTTATTACCCACCGGTACGCACATTTCATACCTGCTAGTTAGTTTATGTGAGCTGTGTGTATTACTCGTAAAGAACTTTGCCGAAGCTTGAAAGCTATCCTAAGTGTGAACACACAGAAGACTCACTCACAAGATGAGATAGTTAAAATATGTTATCTTGACCCTTTGTTAGGTGAACTACGGGAAGAAATAATTGCCCTTGGTACACCTCTGCCGGTCTTCGTCGGCCCTAAGGTGGTCCGGGCGCGGCTTGGCCGCCGCGAGCCCTAGGTGCCATTCGGCATAGGCCACCTTCTGGGAAATGCCTAGTACCCTAGCGCAATCCCCCAGAGGCGTGTCGCACGGTCCACTCGTTGGGCCGGGCCGGCCCTGGGGCGTCCCAGTGGAGTGGCGCACACAGAGGGCGCCGATTCTGAGGCGCTCCCACAAGGGCGTAGGAGGGTACCGGTAGTTTTTAGTGAGTAGGATCGGCGCTGTTCTGTGTCTTGGAGTCCCACACACGTCGCGCGCGCGGTATGGTTCGTAAATCTATTGTGCATCGTCAAAAAAAAACTGAACTATGTAGGTGGCCCATGGGCAGAGACAGAACAAGTTGAAGACCGGATGATGCCAGAGAGAAGGGAGATGGGTGCGTAGAAGAGCTAAAAGCACAGATAAGCAAAAAAAATCAACAGCGTTAAGTCTAAAGTTGCTGAAATCAAATCCCGATAGGCAAACATATCAGTGTTTGTGTAATGAATATAAGCATATTTTGTATACAAGAGGCGTAGTGGTTTATACGTTTATGTATTCTATCTGTTGTTTAGTATTAATAGGGCAAGCTTTACTTAGTTTGAAGCTGAGTATTATGTGTAGGTTGAGCGTAATTAATCACCCACTGGCGTGTAGGTTACATATACTGCTAGGGACTACGAAGTTAAACTTGGTTTGATGAATACTTGACGATATTATAATTTTAGAATATAAATTAAATATGAGGAACAGTGGTTATAACTGGACTAACAGAAGCATTTCATTATTGTTATTTTTATATATAGCATTATAGTAATCCAAAAGTGAATAGCGTAGCATATAATGAAGTAATCGAATCGATTACGACATTAGACACATTTAAGAAAGTTTTGGAACGAAGTTCTTTTTCGGACGGTATGGCGGATGGGTGTAAGGCAAATTTGTAAGATTTTTTAAATCACAACCTAGCGAGGCAGCTAGCTAGGCTGCTGGGTGGGTAACTAGATGGGCAGCGAAGTGGTGGCTGTGGACTTAGTTTAAAATTTTGTTTAATAGTTTGACGGAATCGGGGGATCGGGTCATGACGCACCACGTGGCCTCATTGCGGATTGGTGGGTAGGTTACCTTTTTTATGGAATACGGAGATAGGGCCATGACTCGCTATGCCAGCCCAGTGCAGATTGGTGGGTGGTATATAAATATTTTTAACTTCGTACAGCCCAGTGTTCTACAACTTCTAACGCACACATTTTTGAAGTGAAAACTTCTTTAGCGGCGTTGTACACTTTTTTTGTAATGGGTAAAAACTGTTTAACTCTCGTCAGGGCACGTGGCCTGATCGCGTCATGACACGTGGCCTGATCGCGTCCGGACACGTGACCTAATCGAAAATTTGTGAGACGAAAACAATAAAATTGGAAAGGTTGTTGACTTTCAATATATTGGACGAAACAAAGTAATATTTTATTTTATCGTATTATAATAATAAGTCTCTAATTAGGACGTTCAGGTGGCTTCTAGCTTTATTGCGAAGAAAATGCATTTTTTTACAATAGATGTCGCTAGGTGAACTTAAATGTGATTCATGTAAGTTGATTTTTCTGAGAGATAAACTTTTTAATGTAATATATATTTTCACCTTTGTGTACGATAACTCAATAAATAAATATTGTATTCCACCACATAAATGATAGTACTTTTATACTGATAATTAAAGCAATTCGTGCAAAATTATTCCCTAACAATTCTAAAATATCAAAAATGCTCAACGTTGATATTCAAGTTTTCACTTCTGCCGGCACTCCCGGAGTGCAACCCGTCGTTTTGTTTTTGTTACAAGGTTACAATAGCTCATGAGTTTAGGTTAATAATAATGTTCACACAGTGATCCAGCAATCCGATTTATATTTTTGCACTCTACTGAAATGAGTTCAGCGACACACATGCGACAGATCCATTCACAAGACCCGGTATCCGTCACAAAAAGATATCACACTCACAATGGCATGGTCCTAAACGGAGGTGGCCCATCAAACTATAATCGAGCACAAAGGGGCCCGTCCAGTCGTCAGTTTATCTGCGCACAAGCATCACGGTGTCTAAAGAATCAAAAACAATTGGCTCCAATATCATCGGTGATGACCGCGGAAGTGACTTTGGCATTGGACCGCGGATAAGTGTTACGTGATTAAGTGAACTGTATTTCAACGGTACTTTTGTGTGTTTAACGTATGATCGTAGACGTAGCGTGTGAATAAATTAGTGTACCGAATTTCATTCTCGGAACCACCCCCTGCTTTCGTAAGTATTACCGAGGATTAAGATGGTTACGTGAGTAAAGCTCAAAGTGTTTTTGTGGTAAAGTATGAGCGTTGAATACTTTATTAAATTTCTTGAGGTAACACGAATTTGAATGAAACTAATTTAAACTTCTTGTTCGCAACTTAATAACTGGATATTTTACATAAAGTAAGCTTAATCAAGCTGAGGTTATTCTACAAAAACTTATAATTGAATAATGGATACATTTTTAGATAAGAATTTAGGTTATTGTCAATCATTTATGTGAATGAGTAAATGAAAAAATAATAACAATATTACATTGAAAAAAGGGATATGAGTCGCGTGAGTTTGATGTGAAACGAACTAAATATTTTGGTCTTGTGTTTTTCAATTAAATTAGACTTGATTCTTGACCAATCAGAGTAATTCATTAATAACTACGCATACGCCACGCTGTTTGCCTTTCAAAAAGCATAAAGAAAAGGATTGTTTACAAACCTGATCGTTGGGTGATCAGAAACCTCCAACACAAGGAATATCACACTGACGTTGCCAAAGAAACTTCTCCACGCCTCTCATGAAGAAACCTAGGAAAATCTTAATAACCCTGTTCAAATCCCAGTTTCATTGTATATGGAATAACTGTAGTTTGTGATTAACTCGATTCCAAAGTGTCAAAATGGATCTCTTAAAGAACTTCGTTACATTAGCCAACTTAAAAATCATTTCTCAAGTGCCATGAAGAAAAATTGGTAGCTCGATTGCTAGTCATTACAGATACGATACGGTCTCTGTGCTGCGCCCCACATATTTCCGGGTGTGTTACCACTGTAACGGTTATTGCTGGACGAGCACATTTGTTAATTAATCGATTGCGTGTCGCCTCCAGTCCCGATTCATGTCCCTGCTCGTCGCAAGTCACTTGTCATGGTGACGTTTACAAATAACGCGACCTCGCATCGCGTGACACCGATAGGTAGTATGAAGCTAATGTTTTTATACGAATATTTAAGCCAACATTCGACGAAAGCAAATATTCGATGAAAAATGATTTTAGCTGTTTAACACAGTAAATACTTACCCTGTAAATATGGTGCTGAAAATACTTATTTAAAAGTAAGCCTTTTTAGGGTTCTATAACACAAAGAAAAAACAAAGCTCGTATTTTTTATTTTTTAAAGCATACTGTCAAAATTTTTATACATGCAGCCTATGGACCAAATTTACTAAAAGTGCCTACAATGCCCTTAGAGTTATGTATAATGACATATTCAGGGCTCTGTTTCGACTTCCACGCTACTGTAGTGCATATGGCATGTTTGCGGACGCAAGCACTGACGACTTTTATGCTATTATGCGTAAAAAAGTCGCGTCACTGGTGCATCAGCTGCCGGGAGGTTGTAACAGAGTCCTGAGTATGTTAGCAAATAGAATGGACTCCCCTCTGCTAGGTCAGTTCATCAAACTACATGTTTGGTGAGCAGGCCGAGGGAAGGGTGCAGTAAAGTTATAAATTTTTAATTATTTTAATTTTGAAATTATTTATTTTAATTATTTTTATATATGTTATTGATTAAATTACTTTAATATATGTTATAATGATGATTGAAATTGTAATGAAATACTAAAATAGGAAGAAAAATTGTTACTAACATATATGAGACCATGTCTTGAAATAAAATCATTTTACTTTATTTTATTTATTATTTATTTATAGGATCACCTCGTTATCCGTATAACTGTTGAGAAACTTTATATCGGAAAACACATTAGTATCAATTGATACTAAATGCACAGATCTATTATACCTGGGAGCTGTGAAAACATAGACTTCTTAATCAACGCCATCAAAAGATACGACCGGTTACGCATATTTTTACACTCGGAAGGAAATCAAATCAATCCATACAATACATTCCGTTCAACCAGTATCATGAGTGTTTCTCAAATTGTTTGATAAAATAGATTAAAAAAATATAACGTGACCTCGCATCGCGTTACATCGATAGGTAGTATGAAGCTAATGTTTTTATACGAATATATAAGCCAACGCTCGACGAAAGTAAATATTAGATGAAAAATGATTTTAGCTGCTTAATTTTTTATATATGTTATTGATTAAATTACTTTAATATATGTTATAATGATGATTGAAATTGTAATGAAATACTAAAATAGGAAGAAAAATTGTTACTAACATATATGAGACCATGTCTTGAAATAAAATCATTTTACTTTATTTTATTTATTATTTATTTATAGGATCACCTCGTTATCCGTATAACTGTTGAGAAACTTTATATCGGAAAACACATTAGTATCAATTGATACTAAATGCACAGATCTATTATACCTGGGAGCTGTGAAAACATAGACTTCTTAATCAACGCCATCAAAAGATACGACCGGTTACGCATATTTTTACACTCGGAAGGAAATCAAATCAATCCATACAATACATTCCGTTCAACCAGTATCATGAGTGTTTCTCAAATTGTTTGATAAAATAGATTAAAAAAATATAACGTGACCTCGCATCGCGTTACATCGATAGGTAGTATGAAGCTAATGTTTTTATACGAATATATAAGCCAACGCTCGACGAAAGTAAATATTAGATGAAAAATGATTTTAGCTGCTTAACACAGTAAATACTTACCGTGTAAACATGAAGCTAAATATACTTATTTAAAAGGAGGCGTTTTTAGGGTTCTATAACACAAAAAACAAAACTCATATAAGACCATCTCGTTGTCCGTATAACTGCTGAGAATCTTTATATCGGGAAACACGTTAGTATCGATTGATACTAAATGCACAGATCTCAACCTGGGAGCTGTGAAAACATAAACTTCTTAATCAACGCCATCAAAATATACGACCGGTTACGCTGCATATTTTTACACTCGCAAGAAAATTAAATCAATCCATACAATACTTTCCGTTCAACTGGTATCATGCATTTCTCGTAAGAAGCAAATTGTTTGATAAAACCTAGAAATCTGACAAGCACAGAGCAGTAACATCACATTTTATGTGCTTTAATATGGATAGTGAATTGTTTGGTAACAGCAAGCTATAACCATGTATAGTGACAGCAGCTTTTCAACGGCAAAGTTAAAGGAATGTTAGCGATTTCATGGTTTACGAACTTCAGTAACGTTATCTAATTATTTTGGTGAATATAGGTGTAATAATTGTACAATTTGCTTACACTGTTATGCGCACAAGTTAAATTATTATTATACGTAAAGGCGAACAAATATAATATTTGTTAGTTTTATATACCTGCTACAAAATACGAAAGCCTCGATAAGCGATTTCAACTTACGATTGGCCAGTTTTTCATCATATTACGAATCGGACATTATTTATATCTTGAAAAAGTTGGAACATAAGTAATGGTGTTTATATTGATTTATTCGATAAACTATCATTTATTATTCATATTATACTGACTTAGATACCTAATTGACTACCACACTACTTAATGATTTTGTTTACTCCTTTAACTTTTATTTGTGTTTCTACTTCAACTAATTTGTCGCTCTATCTTTGTAGTGTGTAGTGAATACATATTTTTTCTTTCTTTCTTTTAAGGGTATTTCGTCACTACTTTGTTATTATTGACTACCTCTCTGGCCCTGACCCCCACAAGGTAGCGTCAGTACTGTATTAGACAATTGTGGATGGTCTTGGAAATTATTTCTATACATTTATGAAGATTATAGCTTTGAGATTTTATTATTAGCGCGGTAGAGTTACCCACTTGCCTTGTCAAAATTTATTAATAAATTCTAAATTAATTAATGAATATTTCCAACACTCACACCAATTAGTCTAGCCCCAAAGTAAGCCCTGTAAGGCTTGTGTTAACGGATACTAGGGTAATGGATAGATTGATGAGGGCAGTTGGAGGCGATTTGTCGCTGCCGTCGGTGGTAAGGGCTATCGTTGGCGACAACGATGCATGGGAGGCCGCAAAGACATTTTGCGAGACAGTGCAGTGATGGCCCAAAAGGAGACAGAGGAGCGGTCTCGAGAGGAGGACCACTCAGCCGCCCCGATGAGACGCCGTCGAACTGGGCGCAGGAGGCACAACTTTACACACTACACTGTAGCCCCATAGGTGGCCCTGCGGGAGGGAAGAACTAGCCCCGCATTATAAATGGCTTCCCATCGAGTTAGGGAGTGATGCCCCCAAAGAGAGACGGACGGATTCCTCTAAACGGGTCGAGTCCAAAACGTCCCGCGGTTCGTGCCAATGCACACAAGGGAGTTAGTGCAAAGAGAAGGGTCCGAGAGGGCGCTTTCACGGTTGGGGGTCCGGGACAAAGGCTTCGCTGATACCCTTCCCCCATCGTGTGAAGATGGAACCGCAGGAGGTGTTTTTAGTGGGTAGTCCCGGCGCGGCGTGAGGAATATGCCCCGTGGAGTCCCACATACCCCCACGGCAGGGCACGGTCGTGGGAAGTGCGTAAATGCATTTGCACCTTCCCAAAAAAAAGGGTAATGATAGAATACATATATTGTACATATATAAGTATATTTATGTAGAAATATATATTAAACATCCTTGACTGGAGTACAAATGCTCGTATTCATCACACAAACATCTGTCCTCACCGGGATTTAACCCGGGACCTCTAGAGTTGGCGACACCGTGAAACGTACAGACCACTTGGCCACGGAGGTCGTCAAACTAAGCGACCTACTTACTAAGCGAAACGAAATTATAATTCGTTGCTTGTAACCCGCCTTTGTTTTGCTGGACACTACCCTTCCTATTAATAATAAACGAAGAATATCTAAGCTTGGTTTAGCTATTCCATATTTTGTCTCTGTTCATTGAATGACAAATCCAAGTCCAGGCTATGAAAATGTTAAATATATTTCTATTTATAGTTTAATTATTTTATACACTTGCAAAATATTGCTCGAGAATCATCAATATGATAAAGTCGATTGCAATTTACATTGAGAAGCTCAACGGTTATAAAAATTTTAGATACTTTCAT